TAAACTTTTATTGTTGAATCTGATCAAAATCACATCAAAGTAACACATATTGTAACGGGTTTATAAGTTGGAGGATAGATTGTCAAAATTAAAAAGTTTATGGGGCAAGTTGTCAAAAACCTAAAAATTTAGAGGACAAATATGCAAAATACCCTTGCAAAAACGTTCAAGTCATTTTCCAAGACGCCATCGTTTTTAAAGTTCAGCATGTTAAATTATTTCGTTTTAATCGTTCCTTTTCGTTTTTGCTCATTCTCGTTGATTCAAGGTTATGGTCGTTTGCAAGAGACGTTTTCCATTTGGTGGATTCTGAAGCTTGTTATTTTGTCGTTTCTGCAATTCTTTGTTTTGGATGTTATTGTCATTTGTAACTTTGTTGTCGATTTATTTTAATTTTATCGTTTTAAGCCTTTTTTCAAGGAACTATACCCATGTTAATGGATGTTGATTAGGAAAGCAATTGTCGTTTATTATTTTTTTTTTTTTGAAGGGGTTGTCGTTTAATTATTAGTGTTGAAGAAAACACTCCCTTTTATGTTATACTGTCGTATGCGAAGTCATTATTGCTCTAAAATAGTCGTTTTTAGAAGAAATTATTGTAGTTAATTAATTAAATCCAGTCATTTCAAATATCGATCATAGTTATTGTTCTAAACTTTATTGTCGGTTCCTTGAAAGTTGAAAATACGAACTATCGTTTACAATTCATCACACACACATGCTATTCTACCATCACATTCATGTTATCTAAACCGCTTGGGTAGTAGAGCTTGAATATTATCAAATATGCATAGGAGACTTTTTATTTTTACATTTATCTTTTGAATCGTTCATAGAAAAATTATTAGATGTATTTAACGTGCCTATTAAATGCATTAATAAATTTTTACAAGAAACTTCTTAAGCGATTTATTATTCAAAAGTAATTAGCGTTCAAAAAATGAAAAAAAAAAGTACATTAATTATGGATGTTCGTAAATAAAACATGAAAATACCTCTGTAAGTCATCAGATTTCTGTATATATTAAAAATTGAATAAAGGAATTATTTAATTATCACTTTATAACATATGTATTTGATGTCCTTTTTACTTGATGAGTTTCATTTGTTTTTTTCTTTCTTTCTTTGCATTCAATAATGTACAAGATTGTCTTCTCATTTAAAATTTCAAAACCCAAAAATAAAAATGCCGTAGTCACAACCCCATCCTAGTTTTTCTAACAACGGACTAATGGCTATTTAAAAATAAATCAAAATCATAATTAAACATGTTGAGAACAACCTAATTATCAAGGTTATTTGCCTTTTTGAACATATACAAGTAAGAAAAAAAGTACATGATTTATCATGATTTTGTGCAGATTTATTATTTATGATATTCTAAATAATTAAGTGGCATTATGATTTTTATTTTCTTATTTATTAATTAAATAATAATTATTTATTTTTAATTTGAGTGATATAAATAATATTTTTTATCATTTAGAGTAGCGTTTTTAGTTTTTTTCCCTACGAGTAAATTATCATTCAACTATTTACGTTGTAATTGCTCAAATAAGATTTACAAAAATGAGAGAAAAATAAAATAATAAAAGTTACGCACTGAAAGGAACTGTAATGGATTCACTTGTCCTTCTTCGCTTATAGTATTTGATTGTTTAGATTGAAAATTGGAATTTACTTGTGAATTGTTACTTGGGCTTCAAAAGAATCTTTATCGAAACAGTAAAAACTAGGGAATAAAGAATGACAAAGGGAAAAGTTGTTGTTTAAACTCAAGAATAAGTACTTTTTATTATAACGAAATATACTTTTAATATTATATATTTTTAATAATATTATAACAGTTTATTGACTTTTTTAAAAACATCTTCTTGACATTTTGAAATTGATTTTTGAAACAAATAATGTCCAGATTATCCTTCCTATTAATTAAATAGAAATCAATGTTATTTTTAAATCAAAAAATATTTTATAACATTTTAAAAGAAAACAACAAAATAAAACAGCTCATGATTTTTTCTAAATTTATTAATTTTTGGTTAATTGAATAGAATGGTATTAAAGTCATTTTACGTCTTAAAAATCAGCTTCAGAATACCAAAAAGATGTTCTTAAAAATGTCGATGTATTACTTTTATATTATTGAAAACACATGGTACTAAATGTATGTTTTACTATAATATATAGTACGAAAATAATTTTATCCCTTAAACTTGTGTATTTTTTTTTCCTTCCTGAGTAAGTTAAGGGCATATTGGGTTGAGCAATCAAATAAAGGACTTTATATTATTGTACTTTTTAAAAAGTGTTATTTATTAAATTTTTAAGGGAATAAGATTTATTTTCAATTGCTTTTGAAGTTTAATGTAGTACAATATATATATATATATATATGTATCTATATATGTTTAAGAAGGAAAAAAAAAATTGAGCCTATAGTAGCTACGTCTCTGTCGAGCGGTCATGTTTGATTATAATTTTACACTTAAAGCTATTACAAATTTGCAAGATGCGATCTTGATTTTTCAATTTGAAAGGGCGGTTTCCGATCCCGACCTCGCTGAAAGGGGTGGGTATATATTGTTGTTCATTAATTGATTATGAACTACTATAAATTTATATGTTCATTTACTTTTTACATTCAATTTATTATTCTGTTCAATCCATTAGTGAGGTTATTTTTTTAGAGAGTTATTGTTGATGAATTTTCACTATCAGTATCTATTACATATGATTATAAATTTAGATGGTACGAAAAATTTGTATTAGAAAAAGAACCGAAGAGAGAAAAAAAAAGGACATTATTCCATCATGAAATTTCTCATCATAAATCACAAAATAGTCTATGATAGGGTATCACTTTAGATTATTAGTTTTTTTTTTTTCCCTAAAAAAATCTTTAGATTATTACTTATAAAAAAACTCTAAATTATTAAATTAATCGTAAAAAAGTTAGGTAAGGTGGTCAATTTGGCCACCTCTTTTAATAAGGTCTTTTTTTATTTGGGTCTTTCTAACATTAATTTTAGTTTTTGACCACTGCATCTAATCAAAATTACAGTACATAAAAAAAAATAATATATAAACAATTTTTAATACTGATTTGACGGTTAAAAATAATCATTTTGGTAGTTTGTTTTTTCAGTATCTACCATGAAAATCTCTATGTGAATTAATGTCTAGACACGCACTCACTCTCACTCCCTCTCCTTCTGTTTGAAAAATGGCGGATGCCATCAAAATAATTGATACGCTGATCAATGATCGATAAGTGATTAAGCACCAAGGATAATGGTAAATCATTTACTGATATTTATTAAACACTGTTTAATATTGAAAAATCCCTAATTCACCACTATTAAGTCGTCAATCTCCGACTCACAGTTTTAATTGAAAACACAATAAGGATTAATAAAACTTAGAGATTTATTAAAAAAACTACCTTTTTAAAAGATAATTTTCCATATACCCTAACTAAAATTATATTAAAATAAGAACAAGAATCTTTACTAAATTTTTAAAATAGTTTTTAAGATATATCCTAACTAAAATTGTATTATATGAAGAAGAATTTAATAATTTTTTTTAATAAAAATTAACCATCTAAAACTATAGAAGTGTTATGAAACAATTTTTATATCTTTTAAATTAAGTTCTTTAAGAAAAATCAATCTTCTACGCAACATCATGAGAAGAATGTATAACATTATTGTTATTCTCTATAACAAAAACTCAATAATTAAATTTGCAATAATGCATTACTACAACATATCATAATTCTTTTAAAAGAATATATAATAATTAAAAAGTTATCAATAGTTAATAATGTTAGGTAGAGTTTTAAGTCAGGCACCCATATAATTGAGCACATGTAATTTTTTTTCACGTGTCTAAGTACTATCATTTTTATGTATAACACTCCATTTGCATAAGTGTAACTGTTAATGTTTCATGTATAGGATTATAATTATTAAATGTTATGTTAAAACAAATTGAATGTTACGAGGACATATAATGTCCGTTTGATTCATGAGTTCAAATTAAATGATTTGAATTCAAATTCAAATTTTACAAGAAAAAAACATTGTAATAAAACCATAGGAATCAAGGTTTGCACTTTTTCACTAAACAAGCACATAACGATGTTACATGAGCATATAAGAAAAGTTATACATTCTTAACTTTAGATGCTAGACATAACACATAAGTCCAATTAGAGCTGTAAGTTTGGGCGAGCTAAACAGGCCGGCTCAGCTTGGTGCTAACATCCGAACTGGCTGGGTCAAAGTTTTAAGCCCAAAAGTTTATTAGGACCAATCCGGCTTAAACACCCTCTTTTTAAAGATTTTTCGGCTCTAAACTTTTTAAATTTTAAGGTCAAACTGAATCGTCTCTCTCATTTATGACCGACCCAATCCGACCTAAAATGTCCATTCAAGTCGCCGGTTTGAACGGGCCGGACCAAGTGACTAACTTTCACCTCTAATTCTAACCATGATACACCTTTTCAAGGGAGAAAGAGGGAAATATGCCAATACTTGAGATGAATTAAAATTAATAGGCTAATACTTTACATAAGTTAATAAATAGGCCAAATTACTGTTTTCGTCCATAACTTGTCTGGTTATGAACCATAACTTGACAAGTTATTGTCCATAACTTATCTGGTTATGAATCATAACTTATCTGGTTATGAACCATAACTTGACAAGTTTATCCATAACTTGACAAGTTTATCCATAACTTATTTGATTATGAACCATAACTTGACAAATTATGACTTATTAATTTCTATAACTAAAAAATAACATATATACTTTCTTAAGCTTTTCATATTGGCCTATTACCTATTATTTTCCTATTTTCAATTATTGTTCCAAAGACACTAATACTTTTTTTTTTTTTTTGGCTGAATAAAGAAAAAAAAATACTTGTACGTGCCGGGCGATGGAAGAAAAATCTTTTTCTCATAAAAAAAGTCCAAATAAAGAAGAAAACAAGAGGAAAAAAAAAAGGAAAAAAAGGAAGAAAGAAAGAAAGAAAAAACAAGTGGAGCCACACAAATTCGCACTGGGGTAGTTGATGGCACAAGCCATGTTTTCCCGGTGACTGTGAGTCTCTGCCCCAACTCTCTGTATTGTTTTTCTGGAGTTCTCCTTTCCCGCCCATTTCCGCCATCCCCTGCCGTCTGTTCATTCACATGGCGACTTCTGTGGCGGTGACGACGACGGCGATGATGATGATCATTTCTTTCTTTCTCTCGCTTTTCGCCTCCATAATCGCCGGCGAATCATCCCTAAATTTCTCCGGATATCACTATTTCGACGGCCCTTCAGATTCCGCCAGTCTCTGTTCGCAGCTTGTTCAGCCTGCTGGTTACCCTTGCTCCGAACACACGGTTCTCACTCTTCTCCTCCTTCTCTCTCTATGTATATGTGTACAAACTCCATTTATATTCATCAAGGTTTGTTTGGTTGCTCAGAAACTGTAGGAAAATGTAAGGTGATCATATAATTGAATGTTACTACGCTTTCGGATACATATTTTGGGCATATTCACCGTCATATTACTGGACAATCTAATCGGTCTTGAATTTGATACGAATAAACAATCCAAATAAATTAAAAGAAAAAGTAAACAAAGAAAAAGAACTCTAATTTTCATCATATTGATCCCGCTTGAATCAGAATTTGACTTCTATTTTTCTTTTGTTAAGTTGAATTTAATTTCCCCTGCAATTTTAGGTGCTTTTCTTAATATTGATTGCATTTTTGTTTTGAGTATGATAATCATAATTATTTAAAAGCCAAAGTTTCGTATTGAGTTGTGTGTGTGTGTGTGTGTGTGTGTTTTTTTTTTTTTTTTTCTTGCGTTCAGGCCGTAACAGATGATGGTTACGTATTGGCTCTACAACGTGTGTCGACTAGCACTGGGAATTTGAGACAAAATCCGGGTCCTCCGGTTTTGCTTCAGCATGGACTCTTTATGGTAAGATTTCCCACAATTTGTTTTCTTATTTGGCCCTTTCTTTGTGAAAAGGTGGGGGGTGGACAAAAAAGAAAAAAAGGATGAAAAATGACTCGAGGGCTTTGAATTTTGTGGTATGCTTGCCTAAGTGAAAGAAAAAGGGGATTCTTTTTCACAGAACATTTCTGTTTTATTGTTTGTGCTGTAGAGGAAAAAGATTTTAACTCTATAATTCCTTTATCCATGCTATTTTATGATCATTTAAGCTGTACAAGAAAAAAGATTTAGCTCTATAAGTGCTTTATCTATTTTAGATTAGTTTTTATCGTTGGAAAAGCTATGTTTTACTGGCCCTTTTCTTAATATAAACGGAAACAATTGAAGCTTTTTCTCGCTTGGTAATCGGCTGCCCTTGACCTCATTGTTGATCATTACATAAACAGGGTGGTGATGCTTGGTTTCTAAATCCCCCCGAAGAGTCCTTGGGCTTCATCCTCGCAGATCAGGGTTTTGATGTTTGGGTGGGTAATGTGCGTGGAACGCGATGGAGTCATGGGCACGTATCTTTATCCGTAAAAGATAAGGTATGCCTTGTGTATAAATATCATTTTCTTTTTCGCTTCCTTGGAGTTATTTCTTTGTTTCTCTTATCCCAAGTGATGAAGAGAGTTGTTAACTGTGGCTCCATGTTGGTTAAACTCATGGTGGAGATTTATGAATTCCATTGGAACATCCAAGTTGTCGTCCTGATGCCCGATTGCTTCTTTGCATTTATTTAAGTAGCAGTAAATTGGGATATAAAAAAATGACTGGTTTAGGTCCACTAAGGGCTGAATAGTGATGAGCACAAGGGATCTGTAATGGAGATGGAGCAAGGAAAAACATACTGATATAAATGTTGCTTGAACAGAAGTGAACAGATATGGAGTACCAAGAAAGGAAAATACATTAGATATGGAGCAAGGAAAAACATGCAGACACGCACATATATAAAATCTGATTCGATAAAGAACATTAGATATATGATCTTGTAATTCTAACTTTAGTGCGCTCCAAAATGTATGATATGCATAACCGTGTTCCATTAATTAATATGGTAGATCTATCCAAAGTTTTCATAGAATAATAAAGGATTGTAAATATACATCAGAACCAAGTCTTGTTTTGTTAATTATATGGTTAATACAATGGGCTTATGCTTCTATTGCAGGTTTTTTGGGATTGGAGTTGGCAGGAGTTGGCTCTACATGACCTTCCAGCAATGCTTTGCTATATAAATTCAGTAACAAACTCCAAAGTTTTTTATGTTGGACATTCGCTGGTATTTGACCTTGCCTTTTCTTGATACCTTACCTGCTATTTTAAAACTTGATTTTATATAGCTCAGGGTGCTTTGTTATTTTCAGGGAACTATAATGGGTCTGGCTGCTTTCACTCAGCCGGATATAAATATTGGAGATATGGTTGAAGCTGCCAGTCTTCTCTCCCCAATAGCGTACTTAGGGCACGCAAGTGCTGGGCTTGTACTTCGACTGGTTAATATGCATCTTGATGAGGTATGCCCTTTTCTGCTATTATTGATTTACACTAACAAGTTTGTGGTGCTGAAATGACCACCTATGTTCACCTTCAACAGATTATTTTGGCCATGGGTATTCATGAACTCAACTTGAGAAGGTCTATTCAAGTTAATCCTTTTCTTCCAATTTTCATATACTACGGGTTTATATCATATTAGCTCATCATTATTTTTTCCCCTAATCTTCAGTGCTTGGTGTATCAACCTTATTGATGCCATATGCGATGCCCATATAGATTGCAATGACCTGCTTAGTTCTATAACAGGTTAATATTCTACTCTCTCCAATTGAAATTATAGAATGTTTTCTCGATACTATGTTTGTATCTTTCTCTGTATCTATGATCAAATTTGAAAGCAAGTTGTTTTGGTAACATTGCAGGGAAGAATTGTTGCTTCAACAACTCACGTGTGAACTTCTATCTTGAGTATGAACCACACCCATCATCCACAAAGAACGTGAACCATTTATTCCAAAGTATGCTCTTTACTCTTAGAGCACGTTTACTTTGCATGAAAGGGAAAGGAAGAACTATCAGTGATTCCTTTTCCCATATAATCACGTGTTTACTTATAAAATTAGTAATGGGAGTTTAATGGGCCCCACATAATATAGAGAATGAGGAAAGGGAAGATCAATACTTGCATCCTCTTGGTATTGATTTCCTATCAAAGGGCATGAATTACGTGGAAGGATATTTTAGTAATTATACTGATAAAATTATTGTTCGTAAGTACAATAAACACTAGAAAGGGAATTGGATTTTCCCATTACACCATCTATAGACAAATAAAAGTATAAAGTAACATTAAGCTGTTAACAATTTTATAACAAAATTTTGATCTGTTCGGGGGTTTGAGTTTGTTCAAACTGCCAACCAAACTAAATGAAAGAAGGAAACTTTCTAGTTGATTTGATTTGGTCAATTTTCGTAGTTTTTCGGTTTTTTTTTTAAATTATTATTTTATTTATTTTAGCACTCTTATTTAAGCATGTGAGAGCTTCTAGTGGCAAACGACTCATTAAGTAATATTGCTTCTAATTTTCCCTTCAGAAACTGAAGGGCTACACCTTGCGTGACTCTTTTCCCCTTCCTCTAAACTTTATTTATTTGATTGTTTATTTTTGGTTCGCAGTGATTCGTAAGGGTGCTTTCTCAATGTATGACTATGGATTATTGAAAAACCTGGTGCACTATGGCCAATTGAACCCCCCTCAATTTAAACTTGGCCATATACCCAAGACACTGCCACTATGGATAGCCTACGGGGGCAATGACGCTCTAGGAGATGTGACGGATGTTGAATACACCGTCAGGAAATTGAAGTCTAAACCAGAGTTACTTTATCTTGAGAACTATGGTCATGTGGACTTCATTGTCAGCGTAAATGCAAAGAAAGATGTATATGAGCCTATGATCAGCTTCTTTCAGTCAAGGGCAAAAGCTAGTAGTCTAAAGTGACAGCTTGGTATTGTTGCCAAAAAAAAAAACAAAAAAAACAAAACAAGTGTCTCCTTGCTTGGACCGAGTAATTTGTAATGTTCATGAATATAGTAGTGTGTGTGTGTATATATACATGCATATATTGTACGTTCACATTATTTTCACGTAATTGTTCTATGTAGCTGTAACGAAGAGACAGGGGAAGAAAAACAGAAGTGGACAGAGCGGAAGAGAAGTGCGGTAGCTGGTAAGAACGTAGGTTTATCAGGTATCCCCTCCATTTCATTGTTGTTATTCCTGGTTCAGATAACAACAATGTAATGATTTCTGCTCTCTTTGAATGTGTTGCAGCGCTGGTAAGAACGTAGGTTTATCAGGTATCCCCTCCATTTCATTGTTGTTTTTCCTGGTTCAGATAACAACAATGTAATGATTTCTGCTCTCTTTGAATGTGTTGCAGTGGTAATATCAAAACGAGGTTTCAACTGTCAAAGAGCCCGATTATCTCTTACCAAGAAAAGTACATTTCAATATCAGTTGACACACAGTCAGACATGCATGGTTGGGAAGCTTAAGGGACCAAGTTCATTCAAATGTAAGACTGGTAGGTGCATATAGAAAAGCCTCCCTCTTGGGAATGGAAGTTACTTGAACGACAGCCTTAACTATCAAATTATGTTTCCCTATAGACAATTGTATAGACATAAGCAACTGCCGTTTTCTCATCTGGTTCTTCTGCTGTTGCTTATATTAATGCTTCGTTTGAGTCATCTTCTTCTACTTGTGTCAATCGCATGCAGCTATATTCTATGTAAAGTGTAAAGCAAGCTTGTTACAGTTGGACTAATTTTGAGTTGTCGAAATATTATTGCTGTTGGTACATTTTGTTTTGGTTTTTCCTGGATTCTAAACAACACCGCAAGAGGTTTGTGATTTTGTTTAACGAGGCTGAAGTGCCTGCTAAGATTTGCCACCGGCGGAACTTTCTATTTGATAGTCCGGAGTTTACATGTTTTGTGAAAGCATTGGTGGGAATTGCTTGTAACTTATGATTCTGATTCTACTCTCTTATAAAAAAAATTTTGAATAAAAGAATTTTCTGCTAATGAGTTCTTTTACAAAATTTAAATTCAGAATCAAAATAACTGATGTAAATGCATAAATCAAACAAACTAATAAGTGTTTCAGCGTATAGATTTTCCTACATTAAAAATGAGTTTTTCCCTTAAACTACTAGTTATTGCAATGAATGTTGACATCATGGTGTGACATGAATGTTGCCTCAAATGTAATGTGTCAGCGTACGAATTTCCAACATTCATCCTTCTGTTAATTTTTTGACAATATTTTTACTGTACGTAGGTACCTAAAGGAAGGAAAGGAAAATGAAAAGGATATCAAGAGATAAGAAAATAGGTCAGGATGGTGTATTCTCAATTATCAACTAGCATAGTTTCAGCAATGAACAAATAAATAAATGAATTCAAAAAATAAAAAATAATTATCAACTAACATAGCAAGTGAATTAAGTTTTCATTACAGGACTTCAACTAATTAACAAAACTAATTAATATATTTAGCATATGCGCCCTTCTCATAAAAACTCAAATTGATGGAAACTTTGTTTTTTCCCTTAAATAATAATAATACTGCTAGACTATGCTCCAACATAAGTAAAAGGGATGCATATTACAGAACAATACATTATCATTATCAGCATCATTGCTGCTGTTTCCTTTCCTCTATATCAATGCATTTTTCTATTCCATTGTTCCCCCCCCTCTCTCTCTCTCTCTCTCTCTCTCTTTCTCCCTCTCTCTCTCTCTCTCTCTCTCTCTCTCTCTCTCTCTCTCTCTCTCTCTCTCTCACACACACAACTTCCGTTCATTACCAATATTAGTTTATTATTAATGACCACGTTTTATAGTTGTGTCGCATGTCTTATACATTTATATATGCTGGGGTTTTCAGAAACCTTTACTACTATAAATATTAGTTTAGACAACGTAGGTATGACATGAAGGAAAAAAAAAATAAGAAAAAAAAGTTATGTTGGTTTAGCTATTTTTAAGAGGATGTTTTCAATGAGCGCCGAAATTTTCAATAACAACATCGAAATGCATGACAGTTGTGCATGATGCTTTATCTTCTGAAAATCTGAATGTCTAGAAGAGTGAGAAATTTGATTCATTAATAGACGTGAAAATAATTTATTGATGAACATAAGTGAAATATGTAAATAATTTAGGCCCGTTTATTTTAATGATTTGAGTTTAGAATTTAAGTTTTGTTACAGTAAAAAACTTTCAAAAATAATATTATTATGTACATTTGTTGTTAATGGGCACTATCTCTCTTTTTTTCTTTTTCTTTTTTTTCTTGAAAGAGTTAAAATGAGCTTTTTTTTTCTTTCCTTTGAAACCCAATCCATATTCAAAAACCAATGACCATAAGAAAAAAAAAAAAAAAAAGATCTCTGATCTAGGACGATCGGCTGCCTCGGGCAATCATGACAGTAATCGACCTCCATAAACTCCGACATCAAACACCTGCTGCACCCACCTACGCCCTTTTCCCCGCGAAAACCAATGACGACAAGCTCACCCTTCCTCCGACGTACAGAAGCTTCGCCTCGCGCACCTAACCCGCTCACGCTGCCAAACTCCAGCGAGCCCACACGTCTGTCACCACCTCAGATCTGCGACCCGTCGACGCCGATCATTTTCCAAAAAAAAACCCATTTTGAATAGGAATTAAAATGAAATTGTTACGTCACGGTCGAGCAATTGACCGTTCCTTTGGCTACCAAGCGCCGAGACATTCCCAGTCGAGAGCTAATCGCTGACGTTGAGAAAATGGTCGTACGTAGGGTGCCCTCAAGACAATGAGAGTTCATGTAGGAGGACGATATGCATCGATGACTCCGCTTGAGCTGAGAGAGCAGCCGGGTCAAATCTAAACTAAATCCCGTCATCTCAGGAAAAGATATACTGCAACAACTGTCACGATTCGGATTAGGAAATCAGATAACTGATAATGGTGATTATCCCGATTTGGTAGCTGAAATCGTGGAAGTACAACTGCCAGATCTCAAGATTTAGGGGTAAGGGGATGATATCCTCAGAACATGGAAAAAAGATCTCTACTCTGTAAAAGGCATATAAATAGAGCCTGCCTCCTCCATTAAGTTTTTTACGCACCATTTTGACTACAGAAGAGATTGTAATCGACAAAATATTAGTACATCCACAAGTGGACGTAGGCAAAGAATTCTTGCCGAACCACTATAAATTTTTATGTTCTTTATTTTTCTGCAACCATAAACCTTAATTAATCTATGAGAGACGTCTACGAGTGCTCCTGGAGAGTTAATTTTTAGTTGACTAAATTTAACCATCAACAGAAATCAAAACCCATTTTTAAGTTGGTCTTTCAGAAAAGTCTAGACCATTTTGGTACAAATCATTTGATATGTGTAAAATAATACATGACGAATTATTACATCGCGCTTGACTTGGTTCTACATGTTTAAAAATCTACTATCTACGTCGATTAATAAAACGTCGACTAAGGTTGCGTCAAAGACAAGTTAAAAACTTTATCTTTAATGAGGGGGCAACAAGGCTACAACCAAACAAGGTTACGGCCACCCCAAAGTTTGCAAAGGTGGTAAGCCCTGACTTAACCATACAAAAAATAAATAAATATATATATATACACACGTCACATATCTACGACAGTCATACGTAAAATAAGGCATATATATATATATAAGGAAAAAATATGTCTCGGCTTTATGGTCGTTTCAAAATGACAAGTTCAAATATCTCGACCTTACGGCCTTACAAAAAAAAGGGAAATGTCCTTAAAACATCGCCCCATCCCCCGGTGCCTGCTCGGCGTCCCCAGCTCCTGGCACTAGCTCGACGTCCCTCAATGGATGGGCTTCCGTCTCCTCCAACTCCTCATCGTCAGACTCGTCAAGGAAAGACAAGTTGACCTCATGGCGTTTTCTTCATAATTGATCGAGAATCTGGTCCCCAGCATACCTCATCAAGGACAATTGAAGGTCCTTAAACTCAACGGAGGCTTTGTAGGCATCAAGCCTCTGAGCGAGAAGGCCCTTAAAAGCAGCCGAGGACTTGAACAGCTCCACCGGCGAGAAAGGTCGACCTAAAAGCTAAGTTTAGTACTTTTCTTATGTTCTGTTTTCCCTTTTGCTTTTTGTAGGCTGAAAAGTCAACTTGTAAATTCTACATAAATATAAGTCCGATTTAATTCTCTACTCATTTGATCTGTGTAGAATAATACATGATGAATTACTACATCGCGCTCGACTTGGTTCTACATGTTTAAAAATCTCTAATCTACGTCGATCAATAAAACGTCGACCAATGTTGCGTCAAAGACAAGTTAAAAACTTTATCTTTAACGAGGGGGCAACAAGTCTACAGCCAAACAAGGTTACGGCCACCCCAAAGTCTGCAAAGGTAGTAAGCCCTGGCTTAACCATACTTAACCATACAATATATATATATATATATAAACGTCATATATCTACGACAGTCATACGCAAAATAAGACACACACACACACACACATATATATATATATATATATAAGGAAAAAATATGTCTCGGCCTTATGGCCGTTACAAAATGACAAGTTCAAATATCTCGGCCTTACGGCCTTACAAAAAAAGAGAAATGTTCTTAAAACGTCGTCCTATCCCCCGGTGCCTGCTCGGTGTCCCCAGCTCCTGGCACTAGCTCGACCTCCCCTAATGGACCGGCTTCCGTCTCATCCACCCCCTCATCGTCAAACTCGTCAAGGAAGGACAAGTCGACCTCAGGGCATTTTCTTCAGAAACAATCGAGAATCTAGTCCCCAGGAGACCTCATCAAGGACAATTGAAGGTCCTCAAACTCAACGGAAGCTTTGTAGGCATCAAGCCTCTGAGCGAGAAGGCCCTCAAAAGCAGCTGAGGACTTGAACAGTTCCACCTGCTGGTCGGCTAAATTCTTGAACTCTTAGGATGGCTTAAAAGTCTCCAGTTGAGCATCGATCGACCGGCAGAACTCCTTGGAAGCCATAAATTCCTCGACCGCGTCCTGCTTCTTCTGCTGGAAGTTGGGAGAGGAAAGATATGCCTTGACCACCTTCGAGCTTCCTTCGTTGAAGCCCTTCTGGAAACTCTCGTTTGTCTCCCTGGCGATCTTCTCCTCAAGGGATCGGACCTTGGCCCTCTCGACCTCCAAATCCATAGAGAATTCGGTCTGAGCAGCGCGGAGAGCTATAAGCTCTTCCTCAGAAGCCTTCAACGAGGTGTCCTACTTCAGCAAAATCTCGTGCTCTATATAATTTAGAAGTGTAACTTCGAGAGCCTGGACAACAAAAAAAGATGAGGGGGCATGTTAAGGCATGAAGTCCAGATACTTAAGAGTAAAGGTCGAGGGGTGAGTAGGCAAAACATACCGAGATTTGGCGCATCATAGCTACGCACTGGCTCTCTAGAAGGCCCATCCCAGCAAAGTTGTTCCAAGAGTCCTCATGAAAGTGCGTGTAGATAGCCTGGATGGGAAGGCTAAAGCGATGAGGGAGCCGAAGAGCCTCGTTAAGGTGGTGGTCGATCACATCAGACACCTGAAATTGGGGGTTGTTAATCTTCGACCCTGGCATCACAAAGGGCTCCTCAGGCGCAGGAGGAACCTCCAAGTTGGAAGCTACATCGGCGCCTTTCCCTATTGTCCAGGTGCTGAGAGTCCCGAGATGACCTTTTGATCGCTGGAGGGCCTTGGCCCTCGTCTACCCTCTGTCTCTTGGGAGGGGGAGTTATAACAATCCTCGACCGGTCGAGGACTTCAGGGACATCATAGGCAGGGGTAGCTTTGGTCATCGGCTAACCCGATGACTTAGAGGAGGCTTCTCCCTTGTTCTTCTTTGACTTGCTCGGGAGAACGTACCTCATGGTGGATGACATGGCTGCGAAATAAAAAGGGAATCAGATCCTAAATAGGTTGACTATAACGAATCAAATTTCATTTCCAGCTTACCTTTGAGGAAATCTGCAGGAGGGACGACTGGTTGGCGTGGAGGGTCGAGAGTGACGACCAGACCGTACAACCGGTGGTTCTCCGGTGTATTGAGAACGGTAGAGCTACGGCTGGAGTTGGAAAGAGATAGGATTTGCTCGACCAGCGCTAGAGTAGCAGAAGAAAGCTTTGGTCGAGAAGGAACTTCACCTGCATTCAAGATTGAGATATGAAAGATAGCTCAACGAACGAAAAGATTCTATAAAAATCCAACAAAGCGAAGACCTACAGTATTTGCTAAATACGGTTTGAGTTCCCATGGGATGCTCGCCGTCGAGCGGGTGGGAATTGAAGTTGCCACCAAGGAAAAAGAATTAGGACTTCCGCCCATGACAACTGGAAGTCTTCTCGATAACGACGGGGGGGGGGGGGGGGGGACTGGAGGTTTGGATTTGGTGTGAGAGCACAAATAAAAGAATCCCCTTTGACTCGGGGAACCCCTAAGGGCATAGCAGTACAAAAACTCCTCGACGATTATGTCGAGGTTCAAAAATTTCCTCCACAAAATAATTATGGAGTTTATTGTCACCCAACAATTGGGTGACAGTTGTGCAGGAGAAATCTTATGAAGGCCACAGTAGGCCTTCACGAATGGGTGGAATGGAAGAGTTTGCCCGAAGCTAAGGGATTGGGTATATAAAGTCATATGGTTAGCTGGGGGGTTATAAGCTCTATCATTAGGGGTAGGAATAATTAAATAAAAGCTATTGGCATCGATCCCCGCATCGCGAAATGCGTTCATGGCAATCTAGGGCTTTATTGTTGACAGGTTGACATTAGTCACCATGCCCGAGATGCCACTCGTCGACACCACCCCATAGCCACGATCTATAGAGGGGCCGACCCGTAGACCATCATCCTTATCGTCGAGGAGAATGAGCTCATCTGGCTGAGGGGTCGAGACCGACCCCTCAGCGTATTCCTCTGCCAGTTGAAGCAGAGAATCTCCGTCGTCGATCGATGCTGTGCTCGACGTCATAGCTTCCTCAGGGTCGTCCTTGACCCTGGACGTGGAGACCTCTCGACCTCTAACCTGTTTTGGTGACATATTATGGAAATAAACAACAAAGGTCGAGTTAAGGCCTAATGGTTGAGAGATCAGAAATAGAGTTTGAGAAGAGACAGAAGTATGTTCGGATCAAATGATCCAAGAGCCCGGGATTAACAATACTAGACTCGCGTAAACCCAGAAATGAGGGAAAACTCATGTAAGGGTCCCCAAAGCCTAGAAATGAGTTTGAGGAACCCCAACAAGAGCAACAGAACCCAAGAGGGTGCTGCTACAAGGATTCAGCCCACATTCATGATCAACAACAGAGTAAGTAAATTTTTATAGTTATATTGTTCTCTTCGAAGCATTATTTTTGCAGGAATCGGTTTCGAAATCACATGCGAGGAGCAAAAGGACCAAAACAACTTACTAGTTCTTGAGACGGTCTGAAAGCTTAGAGACTGAGGAGAACAATGTACGGAAAATGTGCACAAAAGTCAAAATTGGAGAAGGGAAGTTCTGGAGGAAATCTGGCAGAGTAACGGCGTAGTTTACGAATGAATGACCGTGAATTGTTCGAGGAGTATATATACTCGAAGAGTGGAAGCCCATGGGTCTCAGGGAAATCCAAAGGACTTCAGATCTCGACCATTGAATCTGAACTAACCTCATCCAACGGTAAATCTGAAGAGACGCGATCTAACGGTTGGGAAAAGAGCGGGAGAGATGGATCTAATCCAACAGTTGCAAGTTTCCCCTCGACTGCCACGTGTTATCAGGGTACAGGAGACGTGACTGTTGACATGATTGACAAGACCGCTCCACTGCCCGAGAAACTCGCTGCAATGATGGCACTGTACTGACAGGCAGCCGCCATAACCTGCAGGAGAAGAAATCGCCACGTAATACTCTCAACGCTGTATAGCCTGAAACATTGCAACGCGGGATTCCAAGCTGGGGGTAATTGTTACGACATTGTCGAGCAATCGACCATTCCTTTGAATGCCAAGCATCGAGACATTCCCAGTCGAGAGCTGATCGCTGACGCCGAGGAAATGGTCGTACGTAGGATGCCTTCAAGACGACGAGAGTTCATGCATGAGGAGGATATGTGTCGATGACTCCGTTGAAGCCGTGAACTTCACGACGTCGAGAGAGAAGCCCGGTCAAATCTAAACTAAATCCCGTCATCTCAGGAAAAGATATACTGCAATAACTGTCATGATTCGGATTAGGAAATTAGATAACCGATAATGGTGATTGTCCCGATTTGGTAGATGAAATCGTGGAAGTACAACTGCGAGATCCTAAGATTTAGGGTTAAGGGGGTGATCTCCTCGGAAAATGGAGAAGAAATTTCTAATCTGTAAAGGACCTATAAATAGAGTCGGCCTCCTCCATTAAGTTTTTTACGAACTATTTTTACTACAGAAGATATTATAATCAACAAAATATTAGTGCATCCACAAGTGGACGTATGCAAAAAATTCTTACCGAACTACTATAAATATTTGTGTTCTTTATTTTTCAGCAACTATAAACCTTGATTAATCCGTGAGAGACATCTGTGAATGCTTCCAAAGAGTTAATTTTTAGTTGACTAAATTTAACCATTAACAGAAATCAAAATCCATTTTTAAGTTGGTCTTTCAGAAAAGTCTAGACCATTTTGCTACAAATCAATTTAGAAAACTAGTGTAGCATCCCACTCTTTTTAAAAAAAAAATAAAAGTAAAAACCTCACGTTTTTTTTTTTTCACTTTTAAGCTAACAAATTGCAGCTTTTTTTTGGAAGTCCAACAATCGCAATTGTATGCTGCAGAGAAGTGAAAACACGAAGAGAAGACGAGGAAGAAACAGAAAAGAGGGGGCAGGAGTTAGTGGTGGGTCCCACAAACAAAACTTTGACTTAAAACTCGTTTAATTTATTGATTTAAATTTTTAATTTAAATTGAGATGTGATTTTATGTGAGAATTTTTTACTGTAGTAAAAAAAATTAAATGTGATTGTTTGTGAAAATTTTTCACTATAACAAAATTCAAATTCTAAACTCAAATCAGCGAAATAAATAATACTTTAATTGTTAAAAAAATTATGTAATTAATTTTTCATAAGTCCCGCAAAGCTGCCAGCTGGGGGGCCCCTCAATGGTCTAAATTATTGAGACACACATTTATTGAGGCACTCAATAATTTAGGCCATTATTTAGGCACACATTTAAGGACGATTTCTCCAAAAATTGTCAATAAATGGGCTGTCGACGTCCAAATGCCCATTTGAAAATGCTTAAAAATCATCATCCTTACAGTTCTCAATTTCACGATGCTTTTCAAAACATCATCAAAATGCTTAGGATGTTTTTAAATGTTTTTTTCCCTCTCTTTTTATACTAGTGTTAGTGATTTTCCATATGTAGTTTTCATCTTTACAGTTCTTGATTTGACGATGCTTTTTAAAACATCATCAAAATGCTTAGAATGCTTTTTAAATAAATATTTTTTCTCTTTCTATACTAGTGTTAGTGATTTTCCATATGTAGTTTTGGACTGCCTTTTTGATAGGATATTCGACAACTATCCTATTGATTATGCCTTGTTGCGTTAATTTGTGTGCTTGCAAGTGCACGAGTCGCCTCAAGTAATAAAGTGTGAGTAGAGTATCGTTTCCACGGAAATTATTAATATTTTTCCTAGTAAGATTCAAGAGATGCAATATAAACAAATTTAATGGTTTGATTCAATTATGAAGACTAAAAGAATTGCAATAAACGCAAGTAAATAAATGCACACTAAGTTATCAAAGGAGAAAATCAATATATGTGAATAATTGGGATTCAATTTCCCCTTTCCTGCAATCTGGCTATTTATGCTACAACTTTTGCTACAGCGTTGCTGTAGGTTAACCTGAAACGCGCATTTAATACAGGAATCTCCCGATCCACTTGTGATTTCGCCTCTTTACTCATATTTCAACATATTCCTATGAGAAATCTAAACGTAGAGGTTAAGTTAAGTATAGGTTTCAATTGGGTTATGTGAGATAAGTGTATATTCCTATACTACTTGTAAATCAGCTATATTTCTTTGTGAAATTTAGCTAAACAACACATTGTTCAATATTTGTCTAAATTCCAATCAAACTTTCCAGCCAATTGAACTCACAGTTTTCTGTTTTAGATGGCCAATTAGTAAACAAAAATGAACAATAACGTTTATATTGAACAAACTAGAACAACATCAAAATAGCCAAAGTAAGCATAAACAACGTCAATTACAGATCGGTGTACTTTATCATCCCAGCCAAGTTACTTTAGCTCATACTTGCTCTATTAATTCCAACAAAATGCACAGCCATGAATTGAATACAGAGGAAGAGGAAAGATAAACCAAAATGAGGAGGGCAATAGTAAAGGCTAGATGAAACTTGGTGGATTCCTCCCGTGGCTTCACTCCCTGAGATTTCTAGCAAATTTCTCTCCTCCGTACTAGCTTTTCTTTCTTTCTTTCTCTCTAATTTTCCTTTTTACTCTCTGCTGCCAGTTTTTCTTTCACTCCCCGTATGGGTCTTTTGTTTTCCCCTCTTTTCTCTTAAATTCTTCCTGCGGCGCTCCCCATGCTCTTTTTTCGGGTTTCCAGGTGCACCCCTCTTTAGGGCAACCAAGGATGCTGAGGGGGCATGTTGGGTCCAGCTGACTAGGCACCAAATTCGTCTTATGCATTCTGTGTCCTAATTCCCGTGTAAAGTTGTGCACTAACGTCATCCACTAAATGCACTCTCACATTTTTGCTGCAGAAAATACTGCAGCATTTATCATCACAAAACCTGCAAATCAGAAATGACACCCTTTTTGCCACACGTTAGCACTTTTCTTCAAAGTTAACACAGAAACCTCACACAACTAAATTTCAATAGGGTGCACCACATGAACCAAAAGTTGAACAAATAAAGCATAAAATTAACAACTAAACCTTTGGATAAGCTAACTATAAGCCTAAAAATGCCTAAAATAGCTCTAATTCCTAGAGTTATCATGCCTCAATACTGTTTTAATAACTCATTTAATTATTAAGCAATTTTAGTATTAGTATTTATAATGTGAACAATTTTTTAAATTTAGATGATATGACAATATCGAGGACAACCAATGAGATAGAAACTTTAACACAATAAATCTGGACTCCAGACTCATTGTGTAACATCTTTTAGTAGAGGAAGACACAAAAACAAAAAAAAAACAAAAAAAAAACAAAAAAAAAAACAAAAGAAAAAGACTCCAAAACAAATTACAACCACTAGCAACTATCGTATGAAAAAAAAAAAAAAAAAAAAAAAAAAAAAAAAAAAAAAAAAAAAAAAAAAAAAACTTAACCAGGAAACAATTCAAACAACCAAAAAATCCAAATTAGAACAACTTATATGAAAGCGAGCTCAGTTGTGAGCTGCTAAATTTCACAGCTATAGATAGCAGACTAATCCCGCTTCGATAGATAAGCTGTGCATAAGATACTCGTTTCACCTTACGAATTTAGCGCTATAAAACTACATATACATATATGTATATATATGTGTGTATATATATATATATAGTGTATACAAAGATTTTCTTGCCACCTATCTTACTGATACTCACCAGAGAAACAACCACTCGAGCTCTATAAGCTCCAACTTTAGGAGATTAAATAGATTCCTTAGGCAAACTTGATCCACCGTTATAAGCTAATTAGCAAAGGGAAATTCGTACTTCCATTTTTGTTGATGGTGAATTTTAGTCAACAAAAATAGGCCGAGTTACCTCTAGGTTTCCCATTGGGTTACCAGTTTTAATATAGATTATATGTAAGAGTTTTGTGCCGAAGGTGTTTGATGTTTTTAGAAGGATGAACAATTTGAAAGGACAATGCTCTAAAATAAAGGAACACAAAGAGATTTTATAGTGGTTCACTCTATAAAATCACTCTATAAAATCAGAGCTACATCCACTGTGGTTGTATATTCTTTTTGAGGTGATTACAATTTACATTAATTGCTCTCTTGCTCTTTTTTCTCTCTTTTCGAACGTGAACCCCCTTTCTGTATGGGGCTCTCCCTCTTTTATATTGGAGCTTCCTTCACTGGGGGGGTTTCCCTCGTCGGCAGAAGCACTCAAGTGCTCTTCCTTTTTAGGCCCAGACGTGACCCACTAATCACTCGGAGTACTGTTCACTCTGCCAATTAGTTTCCTATTACGGCTCTGTGCAAGCCTGTAACCCTTTTCTGTCCCCCATGGGGCGGTTTAAGGGTTGGCAATTAATGCCTGCATTGTAGACATCCCCATTACTGTACACAACTTGCCATGTCAGGCTTTCCCCCAAGGAGCATTCCCCTCGTCGCCAGTGTTGTTTAGCCCAATTGTCCTTCTTGGCGGTGCCTTTTATGACGAGGGATTTCTATGTTGTACGGTTGACGGTACGACTTGTCGACGCCTGATGAAATAGACGTCCTAAGTTAGACTTCTTACTTGGGTTCTCCTCGACGGAATGGAAAGGAATCCCAAACGTCGAGGGTTATTGCTTTGCGATGAGAGGTTAAAGCCACGTGTCACATTATTGTTCCTCCACGCGTCCTCCACATTTTCCCCCACAACAATTTTGTTTCTAAATTTAGCAGTAAATTAAAAAAAAAAAATATAACACTTCTGCTCCTTATTTCCTCCACAAATTCGTCAAGATTCCGATCAGACAAACCACCCTTCTCCACCGCCTCTTCCGCTGCCTTCTTCCACCTCACCGCATTCCTCTTCATCTCCGCCGCCTTCTCTCCGACCGTCGCTTCCACCAAACACCTCTCCACCTCATCCCTCGGAACCACTCTATTTTCAGCCTCACCACGGCCCAATCTAACCCCAACACCAAAAACATCAACCAAGAACTTGGCATTCGTGACTTGGTCTCCCCACTGAGGAAAGCACACCACCGGTACACCCAAAGTAAGCGCTTCCACCGACGAGTTCCAACCGCAGTGAGTCAGAAAACACGTCACCGACGGGTGAGCCAAGACCCGTTCTTGCGGGCTCCATTCTACAAACTTTCCTCTGTCTCCAATCGTCTCCAAAAACCCTTCCGGTAAAACGTGAGGCTTTAATCCCGACTCTTTCTTAGGAGGCCTCATCACCCACAAAAACGACATCCCAGAATTCAAAACGCCGTGAGCCATCTCATCCACTTGTTCCTGCTTCAAGTAAGCAACCGTCCCAAACGATATGTAAACCACCGTCGACGGCGGCTTGGAATCCAGCCATTCTAAGCACTCGCTGCCGCGAGTCACGGCGATATCTTTTGGGCCTTTGAATAAAGGCCCAATGGGCCTCACCATGCAGAACCCGGACAAGGCCCTAATGATGTCCTGCTCAAGCTCTTCGAAAGTGTCTGCCAACACGCAGAACGACTTGGAGAGATTCTTGAACTGTTCCAAGATCGTTTTTCCAAAAACCTCGTACGGATTCCCAGCTATCAGGAAGCTGGGAATCTCGTCGCGTTTCAGAGCCGGCATGCTCGTCAACTGGACGTCGATATCCGGTTCTGCCTCGGAAGGAAACGGCACCGTTTGGTGGAAGAAATGGTAGTAAACTGCGAACACGGCAGACGATTGCACCCAGAGAGTGGCCCAGGGGATCTTGAGATCTTCGGCCACGTCACAGGCCCACGGGATGAAGGGGTTGTTGACGAGGCACGAAACGGGACGACCGTTGTCGTTTAGCTTCTTGATCAGTTGAGGAATTGATTCTTTACCGGCTTTCTCGAGTCGTGAGAAGTAGAAATCGAAGTCGCTGCGCCTGCTATCGTCGTCCGGTATGCCGTCGTCAAAGAAATCGAAGCCGATAAAAGGGGTCGTTTTGTCTTCTGGGTTGTCGTTGGGGTACTTTTGGATATCTTTACCGAAGCAGTGAAAAGAAGGTCGGAAGACATTGAGAAGGATGAGAAGAAATTGGACGTCAATTCATTTCGTCTTGTTGTACTCTCATTGGGAACATGTCAACACAAGACCGAGAAATACAATGTTAAAATGGCTAATAACTGGTGGGCTGTTAACTGGTTGATTAACCCCTTATGGAAATTCTGGAAAGCGGATCATCCTTTACCTGAAATCCTCTTTGATGCAAACTCCGATATGATTGATTACTATTGCACAATGTTTTTTGAATCCTTCCATAATGCTGAGAATTTCCTTCGTGTGCAGATAAATCTATTTGTGAATATATATATATATATATATATATATGTAATATCCCCAACAGATACACGTAACTTGTCGATATCAAGATTCAATTGATACCTACGACCATAGAAAATTTGTTTATATGTGACGATTTTTTTGTACCGTATTGAAAAGCTAGTGAGGAAATTATATATATATATATATATATATATATGTAATATCCCCAACAGATACACGTAACTTGTCGATATCAAGATTCAATTGATACCTACGACCATAGAAAATTTGTTTATATGTGACGATTTTTTTGTACCGTATTGAAAAGCTAGTGATGATTAACTATCACTTGGTACAATTGTTTATGTCCTGTGACATACACAGTTGTTGAGATTTGGTGAGCGCATATGGATCTTGACCATTATTGGTTTTGTTGGTGCAGAAGGTAACTGAAGTATCCCATTTGTATTTTTCTTCCCTTTTGTGTATATATATTGAGAACTCTACAATAAAGTAAGGAAAAAGAAACGTACTAATACTCAAGTCTTTGATAATTCAAATTGTCAAATCTATACAAGTATTTTTTTTTTTTGTCAGTTTTGCTTAATTTTTAGTTTGATGTGATTTTGACATCTTTTAATATTTAAAAATATATAATAACAATAAGAGGGGTGACAATTTGCGTTAATATATTTAGCTCTTGTCTACACAAATTCAACAAAACATATTAGACCTGTAACGACTCCTCACGGGCCGTCACAGTTATCTTAACTTTTAAATATTTACCTCTTAAAGAAGGCAGAAAATAGTTAAGCTTGAAACACTTTATTTTGAATGACTTAAAAAAAATCTAAAGTATTCTTCAAATCAAAACCACCATAAACCAAAGTTCTAAAAATAATAAAAATTAAATAATTAAAAACTTTATTTAAAATTAAGCACTTTCATTCTATGATCATTTCTTTCGTTTTCCTATCACGCATAGCTCGCATCCACTCTAAGATTCTCCATGGCTATAACTTTACCCTTTAGTTCGTCTGCAACATGAAATAACTTATATAAGCAAGGGCTTAGTAAGACACTTAAATCTTATAAATGTAAATGAACATTTTAATTCATCAACAATAAACGTCATTGATTATGCCCAAATGTGTTGAAAATAAAGCGGTCGCAATAGCACAGTTAGGGTGGTCGTATCCACAAGGAGGAGACAAATTGAACAAGAAATGATTAGCAAATAAAAAACGTTATGAGATAAATAATAAAATAAAATAAAAGAAAATGAAATTTTTGTTGAGAAGTTTAAGCGTAAGAAGAGTATATGAGAAAATTATATAATTAAAACCAGTAAGGCGTCGAGATTCCCCTATATGCTTTGTTCACCCGAATGGATTTTGATTTTTAAGATTACTCAATTGAAAGTTTAACATCCCAAACTAACAATCAAAAAATAAATATTTGAAGAACATGTGAATTAAAATGTATTCGAGTGAGTAAAATTCTTACGTTGAAAACTAATGAAAATTGTTCTTACAAGAAATCCTAAAAGCAACAATATACCATTGGTAATATTACAGTAAAAGACTACTCATAAAATAATATTATCGATATAATTAAATTGAGCAACAATTACATAAAAAGAGCATGACTAAATTCATATAAAAGTTGACAAGAAAATATATCATTATGAGAGAAATTAGAAAAAAGATAGAAGAAAATTAATCTCTCAAATATATAAACTTTGGAAAACAAACAGAAAATCAAAATCCACTCAAAATCACTTCACATATAGGTTTCTCTCTAACCTCACCAAAGAACTCTAGCCTAACTTACACATAATTCTCACAAAATTCTAAAGAAAAAATATGATAATAAGAGTAAGAAAATTAGAAAAAAAATGTCTAAACTTAGGCTAAAAATCAACAACTAATAACCTTAATAAATGCCCTATTTTTAGAGTTGTTGGGCCATGTTAAAAGGTACAATCGGTAACAAAAATAATAAAAAAAAATAAAATTAAAAACGTTTTTCTATTTAATTGAAATTTAGAAGGCTTTATTTGGTAAGTAAAAATTGATAAAGTGGAGGAAGAAAACCAACAGAAACGATTTGGAACGGAAAAAAAATTCCAAGTGCATGGACACGTGTCGAAGGGGAGCAGATGAAAAGCTGTGCGCGGCGGGACCCTTGGGTTTCTTGGGGTTGTCCTGCGCACATGGTCTGGACTCGGCAAGGAGAAATTTCACACGAGGAAAGCAAATTGTGGCTTGACTTGGGCTACTAGTTTCTTGAGCCGAATTTAGCTCTTGCCCTTTCGAGTTGGGCTTTGCTAGCTTTGTGGCCCATTTGTGTTTGAGGCTGACTTTTGCACCTACAACGTGTGGATGTGCAATGGCCATATTGGTCCAAGAACCCACGTGCATGTGTGGATTTGTCAAAGAAAATGGAGATTGGCTTAGCACTCCTTGAGCTTGAGTTGCTTTCTTTGCCTGGGATTATGGCCCAAATGTCTTATTTCTTTATAAAATAAAATCCTTGAGCTTGAGTTGCTTTCTTTGCCTGGGATTATGGCCCAAATGTCTTTATTTCCTTATAAAATAAAAAAAAAATTAAAAAATAAATTAAAATTAAATACTTTCATATAAAATTAATTTCACGAAAATATTTAATTAAAACATAATTTATTTAACAATTATAAACAAATTAAGTATATTTTCATGCGCATATCACAATCCCTAACTAGTTTATTGCTAGTCCTTCGCAATTCAAGTGAAAGAAAAATCATGTCAAGCTGAAAATTCAAATCAAAACAAGCAAAATCACCTTAGCAATCAAACAAAACATTAGTAAGTGATCAGAAAATGCAATCAAAACTACTTCAGTCATAACTCCAGAGTTGTGTATGTGCACCAAACCATATCTCTCTTACCACGGTCCATAACACAAAGAGCATATTTGTTCCCTCAAATACTATTCTAAAATCAGGTCATAAAATATGTAAAAATTCCAGCACACTCTATAATCTGAATTTAGCCAACAAATTCTCTTTAAATCATCCAAAACTCATCGAAAAGTCATGTCTATCAGCTTATTACATTAATCACAACTCTAACATACTTCAACATAATCATATCCGAAAATTATTAAAACATGGGTCATATAAAAAAAATCACATCAACACCTAATTAGAAATCATATATAACTCAAATACATCATGGAAACAACCTAAACGTGTTTCTAACATTATCAACAGTAAATAAATAAATAAATAAATAAAATAGAGGATTAGCAAATCACATAGGCGTAAAAGAAATTCTAAACATGTCACCATCAATCAAAATTATAAGCAATATATGAACATCTCTCTCCATCAATGACAAAAACATGAAATATCAGGGTAGCAACTCATACCTTTAAAACAACCTTTCTAATATTGTGTTCTTCTTAGAAGGATAAATGAAGATGATGAAAAACTCTTTCGTGGCTAGGGCGCTTGAGAGAGAGAGGGGGTAGAAAATACTTATTGACTCATAAACCATATAAAATTAAAAGTGATTAATTTGGCATTAATTGAGGATTAATTCTATGATTAAATGACCCCTTAACAGCAGGGAGAATGGTTGTCATTAGAGTGTAAAATCGTGTGAAAGAAAAATACAAGAGTTATGTCAACTTCTAAAATTTCTATTCTTGTTCGTGTGCAGTAACCTGGTCAGAGACTGCTGGATATTCAGATGATATACTGGCCCCATCTTCTTACTCCGATCTCCGATTTGCTCAAATGAGAAGGCATTGGAAAGCTCATAAAAGGATCTACAGCTTTGTATAAACTAAAGGAATAATTTAGAATTTTAAAGGTCCAAAATAGAGTGGAAATTAACGTCATAGAAATAGTTCTTTTGTCTAAAAAGAAAAATCAAGAAAAACTTAGAATTTTTCTAAGACACTTATAATTCCATGCATTACAATATGAAGTACATCATATCATGAACATATATTTATTTATCAAATCATCAAAAAAAAAAAAGAACATATATACAATTTCTATAAAATGACATGAACTTGTTATCGGCATCTCGAGTTCTCGTCGCGTTCACCTGTAACAAATAACTCAATGTGATGTTAGAATTAACTAATAACACCATAATATTATTCAAGTTAATTTCTAACATCTATTTCAAAGAATTTTATCGGTTTAAAAAAATGTGTTACAAGACCTCAACATGAATATGACATATATGATTAAACAATCGGCCAAAGCAATAATATTAAACGTTTATTATACATGAAACAAAACATGATATGTGAACATGTTTAATAAATAAGTCGCGGTGAGTTAACACGAAACAATGACCAATTTAATCCTAGTTAATCTTGTCAGTGAAAATTGATAAAATTACTTTAAAACCTATAACAATATCAATTCAACACTATTTAAAATTAAATCAAACATATAACTAACACGTTAATTCAATTGACATACAAATCCATTTATAGCTTGTGCCATTTTTGAGTTATGTCGCCATCTAATGCTAAAAATAATCGGTCCTACTACTAGGGTATACGACTAGCATAGAATGCTTATATTTGTGTTTCTACGGTAAGCTATCATATCGGTCATGTGTATTCTGATCATTAGATTCACAGTCAAAATCACATTAAAATAAAAGTAGGCAAAATAAATTATTTTTTATATAGCTTTAACAGTTAAAAAATAAAAAACCTACTAACAATACATTTTTTCAAATGTTAACATAGACGCAATAAATATTTTGGTTAAATAGTAGTGAAATCAAGAGAATGGGGTTAAAGTTTCAATAATCGCTTATCCAAAATTATCGATAAACATTCCATATGTTTGTTTCATATGTTTAAAAATTATTCTCAAAACTTTTTTCTTACAATATTTTATTTTACAAAATTTAGATTTTGTTTAACTTTTTTTTTTTTGGTTAAAATCTATAAACTAAATAGGCCATTCTTAATTTTTTATTAAAATTTATGAACCAAACGAGCATTCTTGTCTAAGGTAGTTGATGAGTTGGTTTTATACCGATTTATTAAGCTCTTACAAGTTTAATATTAGCTAGTTCTAAGGTATTAAATTGACAAATTGATGTCTTTTTTTATCTAATTTTACAGGATGGGTAAAAGATTAAGTAATCTGCCAGCTTAGGTCCAGAAAAGCCCACCTAATAGAAGCCTACGCCATAGAAGCCACATTATAAAGGCCCACAATTAAAAGGCCCAATCTCAGCCCAGCAAAGCCCACACATGGAGGACATTATTCCAGCCAAAACCGACATTGTGTTTCATTCCGCAGAGCCTTCACGGTATTGCTTCCTCTGATTACACGATGAATTTAGGGCTTTCATTTGTAAAGAGTGCTTCCTGAGTTTATACGTTGGAGTTGGGGGCTGCCTTGGAGAAGATAAGAAGTTGCGACTAAAGTGGAAAAAACCCTATCTAACCAAGGGTTTGAAGATGGAAACCAGAGGAAGATCCAGGCAGAGAGAGAGAGAGAGAGTGGCTGAGAGAGAGAGATTTGGGGCAGAGAGAATCGATTTTAAAAGAAAAAAATAGGCGGAAAAGGGTTTTTGGATGGGATATTCCAGAGTTTTGAATGGGATATTCTAGAGTTTTTTCACTGGGATATTCCGGGGGGATTTTTGGCTGGATTTTTCAAAGATTTTTGGCTGGAATTCCATAGGGAAACATGAGTGCTTTGCTGGGATTTTCCCCAGAGGGAAACATGGGATTTTTGCCTGGAATTCCAGAAGGAAACATGGTGATATTCTAGAGGGAAAAAGAGAGAGAAATAGAGATTAACCCAGGGCTTTTCAAGAGGGATTGGGCCAGAGCTTTTGGAGATTGACCCAGAGGGATTGCTAAGAAGGAAAGGCTAATTCTTGCTGGAAAACGTTCGGCCATTACAGATTTGCCCTTTGTTCTTCTTTTGTTCTTTCAGATTTTCTATGGTGATGTCTTCGAGACTTTACTGTGGTTTATTTAATTTCATTATGGTTTAATACTTTTAGTTAGAGATTGATGGATCCGAACCTGTGAAGAGTGTGTTCTATTGTTCTTAGGGCTTTTTATTTATTTAATTTGGAATTGATCATAGTGATGTTTCAGATAGAGAAGCTATGTGATATGAAACATTAAATTGTGAATTGAATCTTGGATGTGAATAATATTCAAGAAAAATATAGAACATGCCATGAGTGGATGAGGATTAACCGAATATGGATTCAAGAAAATTCATGTGGTCAGTTTAAATTGTAACCGAGAGGGAGATTTAACCGAAAAAGGATTCCACAAATTCTAAGGCATCTCATATTGAATTAATCTAGAATAGATCTGAAATAAGGATATTTGAAGTTTAGAATGTATGTGATAGTTGATTAGACCCAAAATATGGATAATTGAGCATTAGGGACCATCTCATGGTTAATAATAATTGAAATTCATTCTTTTGAGCTTATGGATGAATCGGTGTAGGTGAAATCAACTCTCTAACGTTTTCTCTCATTGAATTCTTTCTTAAATCTTGCATCTTTATATTTTTCTAATCTTTAATCTTTATTTAGTTTTACCTCACATTACTCCAAATTTCACAATCTCGAATAACATAGTCGGTTTAATCACTTTATTTGTGAATTTTACCAATCCTCGTTGGGAAACGATATCTTACTCATCATTTTATTACTTGAACGATTGGTGCACTTGCTAGTGTTAATTTTATCGCATCAAGTTTTTAGCGCCGTTGCCGGGGATTGAGTTAGAAATTTACATTTATTGTGGTTTAACCCGTTAATTTGAGAACTCTTATTCACTATTTTTTGTTTTTATTTTATTTTTCAGGTTTTTCTTCTCTAGTGCATGACACGTACTAGTGGGGAGATACTTGAAGAATTTGATCCCGAAATTGAGCGAACAACCCATCATTTGAGGAGAATGGCAGCCGCACCTGTTAATGTGATGAAGGACGAAGTCAATGAAGAGGAAAACATACCATTGAGGGATTATGCCATGCCATCAATGGAAGGAGCCAAATATAGCATAAGAAGACCGTCAATCAAAGCAAATAATTTTGAGATTAAACCGGCCATCATTCAAATGATTCAACACTCGGTACAATTTGGAGGTAAATTTTCTAGAAATTTGTGATACTTTTAAGCACAATTGAGTGTCGGAAGATGCTATTCGCCTGAGGCTTTTTCCATTCTCATTGAAGGATAAAGCAAAAAGTTGGTTAAGCTCTTTACCTTCAGGATCCATCACTACATGGGAGCAAATGGCACAAAAATTTCTAGGTAAGTACTTTCCACCTGTGAAAACTGCAAAATTGCGAAACGAAATTATTATGTTTTTGCAGGTAGAGAATGAATCACTCTATGAGGCATATGAATGCTTTAAAGATCTACTGAGAAAGTGTCCTCACCACGGGCTGCCAATATGGCTTCAGGTACAAACATTTTATAATGGTTCTACTGCCACAATCCGCAATATGATTGATGCAGCTGCAGGTGGAATAGTCATGAGAAAAACACCTGAACAAGCCTATGAGTTGCTCGATGAAATGGCTACAAATTCTTACCAATGGCCTGCCGAGAGACTCCCTGCAAGGAAGGCTACGGGTTTACATAATGTTGATGCCATCACATCTTTGGCGGCACAAATAGAGGCTCTCAATAAGAAGATGGATGGACTACAACTCCTAATGTCAAATACATGTGATTTTTGTGGAGGCAGCCACCCGAACCATGAATGCCAAACAGGTAACCAAGTCTCATCTAGTTCACTTTCTGAGCAGACACACTTTGTATCAAATTTCCAAAGGCAAAACAACCCGTATAGCAACACCAATATCCAGGATGGAGAAATCACCCGAACTTTGCTTGGAATCAAAATAATGTGAAGCAACCACCTCCTGTATTCCCACCTCAAGAGAAGAAATCAAATTTGGAGTATATGATGGCTAAGTTCTTGAGCACGGCTGAAACAAGATTTCAGAATCAAGAAGCCTCAATTCGGAATATAGAAGTTCAAATAGGGCAACTTGCAAACTTGGTCTCAGGGCGTACACAAGCCTCCCTCCCGAGCAACACCGAAAAGAAACCCAAGATGCAAGGTCATAGCATTGAGGAGTGGGAAACAATTGGATGAGCCAAATACTAAAGTGGCCGAGTCCAACATACAAGAGGATTCAACCATTAATGAAGAGAAGGAAGCAACAACCACTCAAGAGGAGAGGTTGAATTTGAATAAGAAAGCTAAGGGAAAAGGGGTGGTGAATTCTGAAAACTACATGCCCCCTCTTCCATACCCACAAAGGCTCAAGCAAGACAAGCTAGATAAGCAATTTTCTGAATTTTTAGAAATTTTTAAGAAATTACAAATTAAGATTTCTTTTGCTGAAGCTTTGTCACAGATGCCCGGCTATGCTAAATTCTTGAAGGAAATCTTGTCCAACAAAAGAAAGTTGGAAGAACATGAAACAGCCATGTTGACAGAAGAATGCAGTGCCATTCTACAAAATAAGTTGCCTCATAAATTGAAAGATCCAGGGAGTTTTACTATTCCTTGCCCTTTAGGAAATTCGTATTTTAATAAAGCTTTATGTGATCTAGGTGCAAGCATTAATCTTATGCCTCTTCTAATTTTCAGGAAGCTTGGTTTAGGAGAAGTTAAGGCAACCACTATGTCCTTATAATTGGCAGACCGGTCAATAAAGAGACCGCGGGGAATTATTGAAGACGTACTAGTAAAAGTGGATAAATTTATTTTCCCCATGGATTTTATTGTCCTTGATATGGAGGAAGACCGAGAAGTGCCTATAATATTAGGAAGACCTTTCCTTCCACGGGAAGAGCTTTGATTGAGGTGCAACAAGGAAAACTCATTCTGAGAGTGAATGATGATAAAATCGAATTTGACATGTATAAAATTATGAAACATCCTTGTGACTCTTTGTCATCTTCTTGTTTTTAGGTGGACATCTTTGATGATCTTGTTGAGGAGTGCCAAAGGGAAGCACTTAAGGATGATCCTCTAGAAAGATACATTGCTATGGATGAGGATAACACATGTCCAGAGGAAGCCGAAAATTTAGAAAATTTGTTGGAAATAAATTCAAAGAATTCTGAGGACATGAGAGAACAAAAGCCAAAATTAGAACTCAAATTCCTTCCATCTCATCTCAAATATGCTTATTTAAAAGAACATGCATTTCTTGTAATTATCTCTTCTTTATTGATAGGTGAAATGGAATAAAAATTGTTGGAAGTTCTAAGAAGACATAAGAAGGCAATAGGTTGGACCATAGCATACATTAAGGGGATCAATCCATCCATTTGCACACACAATATCCTTAGGGAGGAAAATTTCATGCCCAAGGTTCAACCTCAAAGGCGCCTCAATCCAACAATGCAGGAGGTAGTTAAAAAGGAAGTGGTCAAATTGCTCGACGCAAGTATTATCTATCATATTTCTGATAGTGCATGGATTAGCCCGGTACAAGTAGTATCAAAGAAAGGTGGGATAACAGTGGTTGAGATGAGAATAATGAATTAATGCCCACTAGAACTGTTATAGGGTGGTGTATGTGTATTGTCTATAGAAAATTAAATGATGCCATAAGAAAAGATCACTTTCCCTTACCATTTATTGATCAAATGTTAGAGAGATTGGCAGGTTATAGGTATTATTATTTTATGAATGGCTATTCTGGATACAATCAAATCCATATTGCCCCCGAGGACCAAGAGAAAACAACCTTCACTTTCCCCTATTGCACATTTGCTTACAGAAGAATGCCTTTCGACCTCTGTAATGCACCGGCGACATTCCAACGTTACATGATGGCAATCTTCTCGGACATGAACGAAAAAATTTTGAAAATTTTTATGGATGACTTTACATTGTTTGGTCTAACATTTGAAGATTGTCTTCATCATTTATCTTTGGTTTTGCAGCAGTGTGAAGAAACCAACCTTGTACTTAAATGGGAAAAATGCCATTTTATGGTTTAAGAAGGGATCGTTCTAGGGCATAAGATCTCCTCCAAGGGGATTGAAGTTGATAGGGCAAAGGTGGAGGTGATTGAGAATCTACCTTCACCTACTATAGTTAAAGCTGTTAGAAGCTTCCTCAGGCATGCATGATTCTATAGGAGATTTATCAAAGATTTCTCAAAAATCTCAAAACCTCTTTCTAATCTCCTAATAAAAGAAAATAAATTTGAGTTTTCTAATGTGTGCTTGCAGGTATTTTAGGTGTTGAAAGAGAAGCTTGTGACCGCCCCTATTGTAGTACCACCAGATTGGAGCCTTCCATTTGAAATGACTTTGCTACAAGCCTAATAAAGACCTTTTGATCTGAGTTTGATATGGTTGTCGACATTAGTGGAGACGGGTAAGAAAAGCAAGCTTATGAAATTCAAAAAATTACTCATACATTCTCTTAAGAGATTAAACAGGGATTCTGGTTTGAATAAGTTTATTAGGATTGCAATTGTTTAAGTGTGAAAGGTTATTTGTTTGAATAGTTGAAGGGATCACAGGTAGGGTGAGGCTTGCACCGGATTTGAAATTCTAGACTTTGCATGGTTTGAGATTTTTCTGGAATTATGAGAATTGTGCAATCTTTGAGGCTTGCTTGGTACATCAAACTGAATCGATTCTTACGCAGTTGTTTTGACGACAGTTTTAGATTATGCTTTATTTTGTTTCATCTTTTTGCTCAAGGACTAGCAAAATGTTAAGTTTGGGGGAGTTTGATGAGTTGGTTTTATATCGATTTATTAAGCTCTTGTAATTTTAATATTAGCTTGTTTTAAGGTATTACATTGACAAATTGATGTCTTTTTTATCTAATTTTGCTGGATGGGTAAAAGATTAAGTAATCTACCAACTTAGGTCCAGAAAAGCCCATGCCATAGAAGCCACGCTATAAAGGCCCACAATTAAAAGGCCCAATCTCAGCCCAGTGAAGCCCACACACGGAGGACATTATCCCAGCCAAAACGACATTGTGCTTCATTCCTCAGAGCCTCCACGGTATTGCTTCCTCTGATTGCACGCTGGATTTAGGGCTTTCATTTGTAAAGAGTGTTTCCTGAGTTTATAAGCTCGAGTTGGGGGCTGCCTTGGAGAAGATAAGAAGTTGCGACTAAAGTGGACAAAACCCTATCTAACGAAGAGTTTGAAGATGGAAACCAGAGGAAGACCCGGGAAGAGAGAGAGAGAGAGATTTGGGGCGGAGAGAATCAGTTTTAAAATAGAGAATCAGTTTTAAAAGAGGAAAACAGGAACGGAAAAGGGTTTTGGCTGGGATATTCCAGAGTTTTTTCACTGGGATATTCCAGGGGGATTTTTGGCTAGATATTCCAGAGATTTTTGACTGGAATTCCAGAGGAAATCATGAGTTTTTTGCTGGGATTTTCCCCAGAGGGAAACATGGGATTTTTGGCTAGAATTCCAGAGGGAAACAGAGAGATATTCTAGAGGGAAAAAGAGAGAAAAAGAGAGATTAACCCAGGACTTTTCAAGAGGGATTGGGCCAGAGCTTTCGGAGATTGACCCGGAGGGATTGTTGAGAAGGAAAGGCTGATTCTTGGTGGAAAACATTCGGCCATTACAAATTTACCCTTTGTTCTTCTTTTGTTCTTTCAGATTTTCTATGGTGATGTTTTCCAGACTTTACTTTGGTTTATTTAATTTCATTATGGTTTAATACTTTTAGTTAGAGATTGATGGATCCGAACCTATGATTTCTGAGTTTCAATTTGAATGAGTTACAATTTATTATTCTTCCGTGAAGAGTGTGTTCTATTGTTCTTAGGGCTTTTTATTCATTTAATTTGGAATTGATCATAGTGATGTTTCCAATAGAGGAGCTATGTGATATGAAACATTAAATTGTGAATTGAATCTTGGATGTGAATAATATTCAAGCAAAATATAGAACATGCCATGAGTGGATGAGAATTAACCGAATAGAGATTCAAGGATTCATGTGGTCAGTTTAAATTGTAACCAAGGGGGAGATTTAACTGAAAAACGATTCCACAAATTCTAAGGCATCTCATATTGAATTAATCTAGAATATACATGAAATAAGGATATTTGAAGTTAAGAATGTATGTGATAATTGATTAGACCCGAAATATGGATAATTGAGCATTAGGGAATTCTACCATCTCATGGTTAATAATAATTGAAATTCATTCTTTTGAGCTTATGGATGAAACGGTGTAGGTGAAATCAACTCTCTAACATTTTCTCTTATTGAATTCTTTCTTAAATCTTGCATCTTTATATTTTTCTAATCTTTAATTTTTATTTAGTTTTACTTCACATTACTCCAAATTTTACAATCTCGAATAACATAGTCAGTTTAATCACTTTATTTGTGAATTTTACCAATCCTCGTTGGGAAGCGATATCTTACTTATCATTTTATTACTTGAACGATTAGTGCACTTACTAGTGTTAATTTTATCGCCTCAGTAGTTGAAGACTACCAACAGATAACATTCTTCCACCATTATTCAACTCATGGTAAGAAAAAAACATTGTGCTATTCTCACGACCATTGAATTGTCTGAAAGGAGTTGCCATGTAAAGTGGACTCCAAATGATGCTAAAAAGCAGCGTGGCGTCCTCAGCTCATGATATTTTTATTATAATCATTAATTCACTTGTCGATATCAAGATTCGACAATTGATACCCACGAATACAGAAAATTAGTTTATATGTGACAATTTTTTTCACCGTATTGAAAAACTAGTGATGGTTAACTATCACTTTGCACAACTTGTTTAACTCGGCTAACGTAGTCACTGACTTTACTGAGCGCATATGGATCTTTAGCAATAATATTGTTTCAATGGTGGAGAAGATGACTAAAGCACCCCATTTATATTTTTCTTCCTATTTGTATTTTTTTTTTGAGAATTCTAGAATAAAGTAAGAGAAATAAAACTTACAGATAGTTAAGTCTTGTTAACCCTAATTTTAACTGTCTGTTGGGATTTTTGATCGGCATTATTTTACAAATTGAAGGATTTGATTTTGGGTTTGATTTGGAGATTGATTTTCAGCTGTGATTTGATTTTTGGATATTGATATGCTGCAGGTTTTATAGTTAGAAAGAATCGGTTTTGATTGAAATTTGTTTCCCTTATCTAGTTTCCTATTTTGATGAGTCAACTATGATTATTTTGGATAACTTTGATGATTGATGGAATATGTTTAAGAAACTATGATTTGCAGCAAGTATTTAAAGAAACTTTTTTATTGAATTGATTTGATTGAAGTCAACTTTTATATGTTTTTGGAAAGTTAAATTTTGATGAGTTGCTTAATTTGCAAGAAGAGATTTTACTCTATTGTACCAAAATGTCCAAGTTCATGGAATATTCGACAAGAATTATACTGCATTATAGTGATATTAGGAATCTGTAAAAGTTGACTTCGAATCAGATTCTATAGCTCTGTTGCAGTGTTTGTTGCAACATAATTTGCAACAATTGTTGACAGCGGATGGCATTAAAGATCTTTGACAACTAGTTTATTTAGCTATATATTTGGAGTCTCATAATGGTCTCGGTGGGCTTTAGAGCCTTAGAATTACTGAGAGTCAATTCATTTTGTGAGTCTTTATTTTTCACATTCTTCAGGAGAAGACGATTTGAAGTGTTGAAGGGAGTTCAACCAATGTTCTTCGAGAGAAGAATTAGAAGTTTTGGAGCGCATTGCCAGCCAAAGAGAATTCGTCATGCAGTTTAAAGACGAGTAGTGCTCATTGAACAAATCCGGCTAATTGTTACAGGAAGACCTAGGCGGCAATTAAGAGAGGGTGTCTTTAGATTGCATAAGTCCATTTGAGTTGTAACACTATTCAATTAGTGGATTATTTAATATTTAGGTGTGGCCCTGCTGATAAGTGATTACCGAACCGTGATATCAATTTCCTGTGTTTTTTTTTTACTATTTCATGTGTTTCTTATATTTGCTGCAACAAATTTAACAACAAAGTTTAAACCGGTACTGTCAAATCTTTTTTTGTCAGTTTTGCTTAATTTTTAAGTTTGATGTGATATTTCAACTAATCTAATAAAAAGGGATGGTCATTTGTGTTAATGTATCGTGCTATTGTGGACATGAATTCGACAAAACATGTTAGACCTCAATAACATGACACGAATTTAAAAATTTGTCAGAAATCGACTAAAACACTAGTGCATAAAATGTTTATTATATGTTTGTAACAAAACTAGCATGTGGAGAAGGTTAACGTGATCTGACATTGAGCTGGGAATCAGGCACGTAGCTTCCCAACGTATTACTGTTTCCAATTTTTATGAATTTTGTTTCGTTGGTGGGGAGATTTTTCCCATACATGTATGTATGTACACACACGTGTGTATATATATATGGTCATGTTGGATAGTTTTGTATTGTATTTTAAAGTGTATTATATTATGTTGTATCATTCTAATACAAGATAATATTTTAGTGTCATGACATATTATATAAGAGATCACTGATTGCTTACTCTCCAATTTAGGGTGTTTTCTTTCGATTAAAGTAAAAACAAAATAAGAAGTAATAAAGGTGATAGACAACCTTACTATACAAAGCTTTTGCAGCTTTGGTTTCAATTTTTACATGCTTGGTTTCAACTTAAAATGTGAGGAAGGGTACCGGCAGATTTAGTATTGTAAATCTCTCGCACGGTTGAAATTTTGAAATCAGTTTTTTTTTTTTTTTTTTTTTTTTTTTTTTTTTTTTTTTTTGAAATAATGGAAAAAGGAACTGCACAATTGAGATTTAGATATTTAAATCTATTTTTTATATAAAAATAAATAAAATCTGGAAGTGGTTTTTCTAGTTCTAATAATCTTTCTTTAGTAAGAATGTGTGGTCAATTATTTACTTATAGAACAGCAGATTTGGACCCAGTGACAACACCTCCTGAAGTGGTGTTTTGGTAGACTTTTCAAACTACATTTGGGGGGGCTTGATTGCAGCATTGAATACTCCAAGGCCTCATTTTCACATCAACGCGATCCAAAGTTCTTGTCCGATGTTGCAGAAGACAACCAAGAGATAACAGTCTTCTACCATTATTTAGCTTTAAATCTAATGGTAAGAAACAACATTTGTTGTGCTATTCTTTCGTCTATTTAATTGTTTCTCAACCCTTCCAAGTTATTTGACATAAATTGAAGATCGTTAATTGTACGTTGATAACAACGATAGGCTATAGCTAAAGGATGTACCAGCATATCAGTTGCCATGTAAAGTTGATTCCAGATCATGCTAAACAGTACCGTAGCATCCTCGGTTCTTCTTACATTGTGGAAAAAGTAGTCCAAGTTTTAAATCTAATTAATTTGTTCATAATTTGAATTTGGATAATCTGCTGCATTGTGATCTGTCCTTGTTATTTGTTACCTTTAATTGGGTTTTTTTTTTTCTCTCGCTAAGAAAATAATCATTCATCCAAAAAGAAGATCAAGAAAGTTCCACCCTGTGTGCTCGTTATTTTTAGTGGATTACAGGTAGTAATCTAATAGATTATTTAGGGATCGGCCCTGGAAATGGCCAATGATACGTGTTGTTTTCATGAATTAATTAAGTTTGTAGATTACCGAGTAAGGTCTTAGATTACTACGGCAACCGACGCCAGAGACAACCGGTAGTCTACATAAAAAAAGACGAGAATGTTGGTGGATTACCGTTGGTAATCTGGTAGATTACTCAGACGATAAAGTTGCCAATGAAGGAGGCCGAACATTATTGGGTCGATTAACGCTGGTAACTTAGTAGACTACTCCACAGTCGAGGAGATGATTTCTATAAAATGTATTTTGTTGACTTTTGACCAGTACTTTAGAGTGATAATCATAAAATTATCTTTTCCTATTAGAGGGGAAAAATTCTTATACCTTATTGAAGTCCGTTCCTATAAATTAAAGTTGTCCAAGAATAACCAACTGAATCTTACAAAATGCGTTTGTCTTAATCTAAAAAACCATATTCAAATTAAAGATATGATTTGATTGATATATGGCGTTAATAGAAATGAAACGTGTAGGACATAAAAAATATTGATAAAATTATAAGATAATCATTGTTTTTCACCATCCTATTATTTATGTCATCAAAAAATATTCTAGTAGAATATAAAATGCATTCTAGTAGAGTATAAAAAATATCCTGCCAGAAAAAAATCTATTAGAATATGAAAGATATCATATTAAAATATTAATGACATAAATGTTAAATTTAAATTAATGATAGAAATAAAATAGTGTTATTTAAAATATTCTAGTAGAATATAAAATGCATTCTAGTAGAGTATAAAAAATATCCTGCCAGAAAAAAATCTATTAGAATATGAAAGATATTAATGACATAAATGTTAAATTTAAATTAATGATAGAAATAAAATAGTGTTATTTTTTTTTTGGCATTCTTGAAAATTTCCGATATATATATATATATATGTATATGCACATATTTTTTTAGTGTTTTTACACATATCTATATAAAAAAATAATAATTGTTAAGAGCTTAAGAGCATTCATCATATTAAAATATTAATGACATAAATGTTAAATTTAAATTAATGATAGAAATAAAATAGTGTTATTTTTTTTGGCATTCTTGAAAATTTCCGATATATATATATATATATATGTATATGCATATATTTTTTTAGTGTTTTTACACATATCTATATAAAAA